AGCAGCAGCAGCAGCAAGGAGGAGCAGCTGCAGCAAGTAGCAGCAGCAGCAGCAAGGAGGAGCAGCTGCAGCAAGTAGCAGCAGCAGCAGCAAGGAGGAGCAGCTGCAGCAAGTAGCAGCAGCAGTAGCAGGGCAGTGCAGGCGGCAGCAGCAGTTCAGGCGCAGCAGCGTGAGTGCAGCAGTAACACGGGCCGCGTGCGGGCCAGGCATGGGCTGTACGAGCTGCGTGCGGGCCTGGCGCGGGCTGTACGAGCTGCGCGACAGCCTCGCGCGGGCTGTACCGGCTTCGCGACGGGCCTACGTGGGCTGTACGGGCTTCGCGACGGGCCTACGTGGGCTGTACTGGCTGCGCGCGGGCCTGGCGTGGGCTGTACAGGCTGCGCGACGGCTTGGCGCGGGCTGTACGGGCTGCGCGACGGCCTGGCGCGGGCTGTACGGGCTGTGCTCGGGCCTACGCGGATTGTAAGGGCTGTGCACGGCAGAAAAGGGCAGGGCAGCGTGAAACGCTGGGCAGGGCAGAAACTAACGGTCGGGCAGGTAAAAACGAATGTGGTGGGCCCTTAATTACGGTCCTAGGCTAGGAACGTCCTAGCTCTTAATACCATGTCGAGATTAGCTAGGAAGGAATGTGTATTAGGTAAGAGGGAGGGGGTACAAGGATGTCGAGAGAGTTGGGTTGTACCCTCTAAGGTGTGACCCCTACACAACATAGAGTAAGATTAACAGAACAATGTGTTTTGACACCAAAAAGTAGGATCAGTTTGAGGTTGCCCACCCCCCGGTGGTACGAGAAGGGCTGCTCAGACCAATGCCACGTTCCTTCAGTTTGAAGGGCCACGTTGCCGCGCGATGACCTTCTGCCAGTGCCAGGGGGGGGGGAGGGGGGGCGTACAATAGCACTCCCCCTACTAAACCCCATGCACACCAGATTCCACTGTATCCCACCGCACCCCACCTCACCTGAACCAGCTGCGGCACGAGCATGGGGTACAGTGCAAGAGGGAGAGGGAGGGGCGGAAGAGGGATGATAGGGACCAGAGGTTGATTGGGGGAGGTGCAGAAGGGAGGTGCAGAAGGGAGGTGGGCAGAGGGAGCGGAGCGAGAAGGGAGAGAGGAGGCTTGATGCCTAGTGACTCGGCGGTAGGGACCAGAGGGGCATACAGCAGCACTCCCTTGGGAGGCTTGATACACTGCAGCAGAGGCAAACCGCTCTCTTAGCAAACTGATATGGTGAAACAATGAAATGGTCTGACTATTAGGGGTTGGGTACAAAATACAGAAGTTGTGTACCCTATGGAGAGCAACTCATTACAGCCTAACAACCACATATACCGTAACATTTGACATTTTCAGCCTACGTTACCCCAAAACCAATCTAGGGGCCTGTTCTCTACTCATCAACACATTGAACAGCACACGTATCAGAGTCAATAAGTACTGATTCGCATGAGCTACTTATTTGCATCCTGTGATCAGGACAACGGTGTCACCAAACAGCAATGTCAGGCTTGTTCAATGCTATGCTACCCGGAGGAGCTACATTCCAGCTGTACAGCGTTCTTCACGGCAGCTTCAACGTCGGCAGCTTTGGGAACATCAACCTCAACGGTGACGTTGGAGTAGCAGCACCACCGGATGATACTTATTGTGAGGCCAACGAGGAACACCAGAATGGAGATGGCAATGAGCAGCCACTTCCACCACACAAGAGCGCATGACGTAGGGCATTGGTGACCAGTGTACACTTTACCTGGTGGGTTCATGCAAGAGGCAAAAGGGAGGAAAAACAGGAGAATTTCAAACGAAAAGTGAGTGTGTTCTTTAAATAATTGAGATGCCACGCCGTATAAAGCAGTTGGGTGCAAGCAGCATAAATGGGTCACCACAGGCCCCAATCAACGCCCACAACCATAAGTGAATCTATGTAAATCGAGCCAGTATCACCAGTTCTTCTTACCAGTGGAACCAGTGGTGGCGTTGGTCACAACAGCCCAATTTGGCTGAAAGCTGACCTTGCAGCCGCCTTTTGAGCTCATGCACGACTGCAGTGCGTAAATTTTGAAAATCGATTGCCGTATCATGCAATGTTGGTGATGAGGTTGATGAGGTCCAGTGCGGTCCATATGCATGCATGGAAAGAATAGGGGTAATGCGAAGGGGGGAGGAGCAATAAGGCAATCGGAAGTTGCGTCTTGAGCAAAGAGCAAGGAACAAGCAATTCACGCCTCTTCCGATGAAAGAATTGAAGCGATAAGCTATGAAATTTCCACTTTCCACCACGAAGAGCTAACAGGGCAGATGAAACAAGAACGCGCAAAAGAGTGTTCGTGGCAATTCTGCGTCGATTCGAAGTGACATACCGCGCATTGTTCGTAGCAGGCCATAACGACGCCGGAGGCGTTCATGCACGGCGTATTACAGTCGTAGTATCTAATGGTCTTCTTAGAAGAAGCTGCTACGGCGCTGCAGTGAGCTAAGACTATGAAAATAGCAGCAACCACTAATACTTGGCTCCTCATTGTGGGGGAAGTAAACGACATGACTTCGAGAGTGGCAGTTGGTGATCAATAAAACTGATGAAGTTGAATTGCTGGTACGCAGGCTGACAAATGAATTACTGAGACCGCTGAGAATAATAAGAAAAGGCAAAGAGCGCTGGTGGTAGACTCCGGTGTTGATGCTAGATATATAGCCAGTCCCAGCCTAGAGAACCACCTTGCCCTGATGGGTCTCTCCGCGTCGCGACGCAGCGGAGCCGCGGGCAGGAACTACGAAGTTGGCGCTCACCTCATCCTTACGAAAGACTCCTCATCCTTATCTTCCCGTCGAGCCTCGGACCCGTTGGAAACGAGTCAGCTTGCGCAGTGGCCCGTGTATGGATTGTACAGGCGCTCGGCGGGCAGGACAAAACTCAGAAAATTCGGCAGGAACAACGTCGAAACCAATAATGACGGGTCCATAATGAACCCTTCATTGGTTAGCAAGTGTAGCCTCTGCCTGCCGCATCTGTGATCGCGTGCCGTGTGAGGCGCTTTTGGAAGCAGAAATAATTGTGTGTGTGAAGGGCGGAGTGAGCAAGCTTGCTGAGGACGTGTTGCAAGCACGCGATCGATCGCCTCTCTAAACCGATCCTTGAGGAGGCGGAACACCGTTACTTCCAGTTCAAGAGCTGGATGGTCAGGGTGAAGGTGCTCGCCAAGGCCCAGTTCGGCAGGCATTATGGCTATTATGGCCATTATGGGCATTTTTAACGGGCCCCCAAAAAATGGCCCCTCGAAACAGCTGCGAAGTCAGACTGTAGCTGCAGTTAAACTTCGGAAGAATGGGCCCGACTGTTCGGTTGGCATTAAATGGGCCTGGATTAATGGCATCAAACCAAAATGACACTTCGCAGAAGCTCGCATGCAGCTGTGCTGATGGAGCCCAGAATCACTGTACTGGCAGCCCGGGCAGCCCTGCAAACCAGAGGTGGACGTCGGAAAAAATAGGGCAAGAGAATCTGTGCGTTCTATGTGTTAGTGATGGTGTGTTGGTGATGTGTGATTTTCCAGCTGGCAAGAAGAGGGGCATGAAAGACCCGGATTTGTTTTTTTCAGGGCAATGTGTGATTGCCCCGAATCACTGATACCCCGTGTGGTGCGGGCTCTCGAGGCCGCATAGTGCGGCGTATCAGAAAATGGACCATTTGCCTGAGAAATAGGGTTCGAGGAAGATTCCTCTGGTGGAAAATGCCAGCGTCAAAAGGGGTGTTCGGCTGGCATTCCATTATTGTCTGGCTCGGCGATGATCCGCGTATATCGAGCCTAGATAACCTTTCACGTGCTTATCAAAGAAGGTTCCAGGGTGGTTGGTTTACTGTAGCCCATCCGGGGAAACCGTTTTTTTAATGCCTGCCAAACTGGGCCCAAGAGTTTGAAACGACCTGCACGCGTATGCGCTAAAGAGCACTAGCTCTGGAAAATCGCGATACACACGGAAAATGAATGTACACCCGGATGTGAATTTCGAGGAGCTGGCGCGGTCTACACGTTTCTAGACATCTCATCTGGTTCTAATCCCCTCTGCACCTTTGCCTCTCAGATCCACTCACAGAAAATGAACGTACACCCGGATGTGAATTTCGAGGAGCTAGCGCGGTCAACAAACGATTTCAATGGAGCTCAACTCAAGGCGGTCTGTGTAGAGGCTGGCATGTTTGCCCTGCGCCGAGATGCCACCTAGGTAATTACCTATTCCGAGCAATATTTTTCTGTGTACATCCTTGTTGTGTTACTTTCCAGCCTCGACTGAACATGCGGTGTGTTTATGTATGTATTCATTCATTCATCATAATTATTTGCTACATGGGGTGCTGCTAACCAGTGGGTCTTGTATGTTGGTTTTGATTGCAGGTGATGCAGGAGACGAGGACTATTATTCAAGTGATGTTCCAGGGAATTATTCAAGTGCAAGCCAAGAAAAAGGCTAGCCTTAACTAGTACTATGCATAATGGAACACATCGTGCTATCAATTGTTACGCTATCTGAAACATGTTTCCACTCTCAGCTAGTGTTGGTTAGAGAGTTTTTTTTTCCCGCATTTATCGAAACGTAGCATTATGTAACTGTTATTACCGTGCAGTAATCACAAAGCGACGGCATTGCGACTTTTGCGGCAGAATACTGGGATGGGATGGAGGCACAACTGTGACATGCAAGTCACTCACAACGTAGCCTCTCTGGTGCTTCCAAGTTCCAACCAACAGCATGGAGTTGACACAAGAGAGGGAGAGGCAGAAACAGGCACAGAAAGAGAGATGTCACAAAATCTGTTGAATACGGTAGTTCCTAAAGGTTCAAATCTGGGTGCACAGCACATTCACCTTCTGAAAACGGATGTGACAACAAAGTACGAGCCCAGGCCACCCCTGTGGGACGTTGAAAAACCCATTAAATGCATTGCTTGTCTCACCTATCCGTGAGCTCGCTTCACCTGCAGCAAGCATGAGATTCCTTGCCACTCACCTCACCTGCAGGATGCGAGCCCGTGCCTCCTCAGTGGGGTGTGGGAACTCAATCTTCCTGCCCAGCCGCCCCGAGCGCATGAGAGCGGGGTCCAGGATGTCAGCTCGGTTCGTGGCTGCCACCACCTGGTGAGACACGGTGTGACAGGGGTTTGAATGGGGGTGAATGAGCCCGTGTCGCTCCGGGCGCATGAGAGTCGGATCCAGGATGTCAGCTCGGTTGGTGGCTGCCACCACCTGGTGCGACATGGGGCGAATGTGGGGGGGTGAAGGTGAGTGAAAGGGGGTTGAATAGGGTGGGGTGTAGCGGCAACAAGGCCTGAGCCGCCCCGAGCGCCATGAGAGCCGAGTCCAAGATGTTGGCTCGGTTTGGAGCTGCGACAACCTGATGGTACGAGTAAAACAGATTCATGTTGCGAATTCCCGCAGATTCCTGCATGGGAGAGGGAACAAGGCAGGAAGTGTTGCGAGGTGCCTCAAATCTTAAGACACAGTGCTTGCTCAGGCCATGACTGCCATTGGCGAAACACAGAGTGTGGATGAGAAGAAGGGCAGGAGGGCTTAGTCAGTGTGGGGAGAGGAGCGAAGATGGTGAGGATGTGGAGAGATTGGGAGGTGAGGAGGCAAAGAAGGCACTTGACTAGAGAGCACAGCAGCCGAGCATGACCATCATGGGTGGCTGGCTAGCCGTCTCACCTTGATTCTGTCGTTACTACTGAAGCCAGCAGCTCCAGCATCATTCATTGGACAATTTTGACTTGACTGGCCGTCTCACCTTGATTCTGTCGTCACTACTGAAGCCATCCAGCTGACTCAGCAGCTCCAGCATCGTTCGCTGCACCTCACGGTCCCCACTCTCTTCACTGCCAGCATTTAGGGTTTGAACTCAATGCGAGCCCGTGCCTCCTCGATGGGGGTGGGAACTCAATCTTCCTGTCCAGCCAACCCCAGCGCACGAGAGCCGGGTACGAGCCACCCCAGCGCATGAGAGCCGGGTACGAGCCACCCCAACGCATGAGAGCCGGGTACGAGCCACCCCAACGCATGAGAGCCGGGTCCAAGATGTCAGCTCTGTTCGTGGCTCCCACCACCTGGTGGAGAAACGGGGAGAATGGGGGTGAAGGGGGTGGTGGGCCGAGAGGGAGGAGAGTGGCATCAAGGCACGAGCCGCCCCGAGCACATGAGAGCGGGGTCGAGGATGTCGGCTCGGTTGGTGGCTGCGACTAACTGGTGGAGACATGGGGTGAATGGGGGGAGGGGCAAGAGGGACGAGCAGCAGAAACGCTTGGTTTGGTGAGGACAAGCGAGCAGGTGGGGAGGGAGGGTGAGCTTGAGGAGTGGGGAGGTGTGGGTTGAAGGGATGAGGAGGCACGGATGGAGCTTGAGTGGAACGCACAAGTGCGAATGAAAAAAAAAAAAAAAAAAAAAAGTGAGCATGAGATCTGAATGTGACAACTGACATTGTCATGTGTAGCTGGCTCCCCCACCTTGATTTTGTCATCACTGCTGAAACCATCCAGCTGACTCAGCAGCTCCAACAATATTCATCGAACCATAACTTGCCTTGACCGTCAAGATCACCTTGATTCTGTCTTGACTGACCATCTCACCTTGATTCTGTCTTGACTGACCATCTCACCTTGATTCTGTCTTGACTGACCATCTCACCTTGATTCTGCCTTGACCGTCAAGATCACCTTGATTCTGTCTTGATTGACCATCTCACCTTGATTCTGTCTTGACTGACCATCTCACCTTGATTCTGTCTTGACTGACCATCTCACCTTGATTCTGTCTTGACTGACCATCTCACCTTGATTCTGCCTTGACTGACCATCTCACCTTGATTCTGTCTTGATTGACCATCTCACCTTGATTCTGTCTTGATTGACCATCTCACCTTGATTCTGTCTTGACTGACCATCTCACCTTGATTCTGCCTTGACTGACCATCTCACCTTGATTCTGTCTTGACTGACCATCTCACCTTGATTCTGTCTTGACTGGCCATCTCACCTTGATTCTGTCTTGATTGACCAACTCACCTTGGTTCTATCTTGATTGACCATCTCACCTTGATTCTGTCTTGACTGACCATCTCACCTTGATTCTGTCTTGACTGACCATCTCACCTTGATTCTGTCTTGACTGACCATCTCACCTTGATTCTGTCTTGATTGACCATCTCACCTTGATTCTGTCTTGACTGACCATCTCACCTTGATTCTGTCTTGATTGACCATCTCACCTTGATTCTGTCTTGACTGACCATCTCACCTTGATTCTGTCGTCACTGCTAAAGCCATCCAGCTGACTCAGCAGCTCCAGCATCATTCGCTGCACCTTGGTCCCCACTCACTTCACTGCCAGTGTTTGGGGTTCGAGGGCGAATAGACGGTTCAAAATCACAATAGTGGGTGGGAAAAAGGGAATCGATGGGAAGTGGGCACAGAGCAAGTGAACACCAAACTGCACTGGCTACTGCACTCGTTTAGTGCTGTTTGGCAAACGAGTGCATTCAATGGCATGAACATTGCAGTCCAGAGCATCAGAAAACTGAATGAAAACAGCACCATGAACTGCATTCAAACATGGGGCATAAAACCCACCTGTTAAGGCGCTTTGTATCAAGGCTCACAGATTGAACATATGACATGGGTACAGCAGACATGCTCGGTTGACTCAACAGGCACAGACGCAAGGTAAGTCAATCAGGGACAGCCAAAAAGCGGCACCCACGTTGACTCCTACCATAGCTTCAGCGTCCCCCTCCTCTCTGCCCCTCTGCTCCGCCCCACTGCCCTCCTCCGCTCCGCTTCCCCCCTCCCCTCTCCCCCAGTTCCCCCTCCCCTCCCTCCCCCCGTCCCTGAGAGCCCGCGCCCATGGCTGCTCCCCCGGCACCTGGGGAAGTGGGGGGGAGGGGGGGGGGAGAGGAGAGGACCGAAAGGGCGAAAGGATAGAAACTAGTGCACATGGGTAGTGAAGTCCCTGAGAGGTTTTGAGACGTCTCAAAACCCTTCTTCAAACACGGAGAGGACCGAAAGGGCGAAAGGATAGAAATTAGTGAACATGGGTAGTGAAGTCCCTGAGAGCTCGCGCCCAAGGCTGCTCCCCCGGCACTAGGTGGGAGGTGGGGGGGAGGAGAGAGGAGAGGACGGAAAGGGGAGAAGGATACAAAACGGATGAAGGGAGAGGTGGAGAGGAGTAAATGGGGGAGGAGGAATCAAGGGAGGGGGAATCGGGGAGGGTGGGAGTAGGGGAGAAAAGAAGAGGGGCAGGAGTACGGGATTCACACCAGAGGTAGAAAAAATAATGATCGGATGAGTGCAGAGCCCAAGCGATGCTTCACATGTGGAGCCAAACAACGCCGTTCACACGGGGACTCACCTGCACACAGTACAGCAGCCGCCTCTCCCAGATACTGACAAAATCTGCCGCTCTTCCTCCACCCCCTTCCCCCATCCCCTCCCCCCAATCGCCCCCCATTCCTCCCCCGCAGTTCCCATCAGTGTAGTTGGTCGTGCGCCAGGGGGAAGAGGGGGGGCCGGGGGAGACCGAGGGGGAAGCGGATGGATGGGGGCTGACATCTTCGTTTGTAGAGGCTCTGATAAAACTCGGTGCCCCACATGCCCCCCACCTGTGGGAACAGGAACAATTGGCAGGAGGACCCACGTCGAAACCAATAATGATGGGTTCATGACCGGTCCTTGCTTCCGTAGCATTAGTAGCCTCTGTCTGTAGCTTCCGCAATCACGTGTATCGGTGCCGTGTGACGCGCTATTCGAATCAGACAACACCGGTGGCGCAAATAATTGTGTGTGAAGGGCGGGCAGTAAGTGAGAGAGCTTGCATAGTGCTCAGAGCTGAAGGTTCTTGAAGGTATGGAACGGCATAGTACGCGTACGCACTAAGGAGCAATAGCTCTGGAATCAAGCTCAAAATGCAGTAGGACAAACCAATGATAATTATTGCACACTATAAGACCAATCAATCACCCTAAGGTCGTACTAGTAATATAGAAAGTTGCTGCGTTGTTTCTTGAGGCATCAAAATCCTATGCGGAGGAATTGACCATACTGCGTTTCAATTTGAGAAACGGGCCGAATGATAAATTTAAAGCCCAGGTACAGCATGGTATTTTTCAAGTTCAAGATTCTTGAACTTGAAGTCGCCAAAAACAGGGTTACCCTCTTTGGTTTGAAACACAACTCGCGAGGCAGGGGAAAACTCTTGCGACGGTCGATCCTGATTGGTTTCTGAGCCCAGTCGCACAACAGATCCGACCATCGCTCACTAGGTTGCCCCGATCTCCTCTCACATATCTTGAAGACCAAGTAGTACTCCTAGCCCACTAGACTACTCGCGTAACTAGGAAACGCACGGCAGGGCGATAAAGGCTAGCTCTGGTAGAGGCGTTTTTTTCCATCCAACTCTACTCACTCACGCTGTCTTGCCAATAGCTGAGCAGCACAACTTCATGCCAAACACGCTATTACCGCACCATTTTCGCATGCCAGACACGGAACGTCTGTTCTAGCGCACGACACGCGCAGTGCTCGTAAATGGCATTCCCGAGTCGCTAGTCGCGATCCCGCTTACATTCCCTCCCGTCGTTCGATCCCTACCATCACTGATCACTCGTCCCTCTTTACCTGCCGCCCTCGCTTCCTCTCTTGTCGTCGCTTTCGTTGCCCGTCGTCCCTCTCCATCACCCTCGCGTCTCCTGCTGTCGGCCACGCTAGGTCCATACTAAGCCTTCCGCGTCACCCTCATCTCCCCTGGCCGTCGCCCTATTTCGCCTCGTCGACCGTAATTCCCCTTGAAAAAGCGTTCCTTTTAAAATCAATCTTGGTTTTTTTTTTCACATATACATATATATTTTAGTCGCCCGTAAATCCCCGCTTCGCCCGTAATTCCCCTGTCCCCCTCGTCTCTCTCGCTTCCCTTCGTCGCCCGCAATTCCCCACGCCGCCCGCGATTCCCCAGGATGCCGTCTCCCACGTTTCCCCCCGTCGCCCGGCTTTCCCACCACGCACCACACGCCTTCCCCCCCACATACACCACCCATCTTCTTCTCCCCACACCACCTGCCTTCCCCCACGCACAGCACCGACCTTCCTCCCCCCGCACCACCCGCCTTCGCCCAACACCACACGCCCCCGTGTTCCTCCTCATACCCGCCCTCCTCCCCCCCACATACCCGCCCTCCTCCCCCCCACATACCCGCCCTCCTCCCCCCCACATACCCGTCCTCCTCCCCCCCACATACCCGCCCTCCTCCCCCCCACATACCCCTCCTCCGCCCCCCCACATACCCGCCCTCCGCCCCCCCACATACCCGCCCTCCTCCCCCCCACATACCCGTCCTCCGCCCCCCCACATACCCGCCCTCCGCCCCCCCACATACCCGCCCTCCTCCCCCCCACATACCCGCCCTCCTCCCCCCCACATACACGGGACAGAGGAGGAGGGTGAGAGGGGGAGGGGGAGAGGGGGAGGGAGAGAGGGGGAGGGACAGAGGGGGAGGGACAGAGGAGACAGTTGGGGAGGGAACGAGGGGGAGGGGGAGAGGAGGAGGGAGAGAGGGGGAGGGAGAGAGGGGGAGGGAGAGAGGAGGAGGGAGAGAGAGGGATGGACAGAGGGGGTTTGAAATATGGTGTTGGATGGGAGGGGGTTGGATGGATTGTGTGAGACGGGGGGGTGATTTGAAATTGGGTGATGGTGTGAGATGGAGGGATTGTGTGCGATGGAGGGATGGAGCATGGGATGAGATGGCATAGTCTGCACATTATGCTGCAGGGTGTTTTTGAGAATTCTCTAAAACACCCTGCTCACTCCCGTCCTCTCTTCCTCGGCCCCCACACCATCCTCCCTCCAGCTCTCTCCCCGTCATTTGCCCCCGTTCCCCCGACCCCCTTCCCTGCTTCCCCCTATCCCCTTCCCTGCTTCCCCCCATCCCCTTCCCTGCTTCCCCCCATCCCCTTCCCTGCTTCCCCCCATCCCCTTCTCTGCTTCCCCCCATCCCCTTCCCTGCTTCCCCCCATCCCCTTCCCTACTTCCCCCCATCCCCTTCCCTGCTTCCCCCCATCCCCTTCTTTCTCTCAGTCCTTTCGCACTCTCTTTCCATCCTCTCGCACTCTCACTCTCCTTCCCACCACCCTCAGCCCTCCTTCCCCCCACCCTCTGCCCTTTTCCCACCTGCCCTCCCAATCCCTGCCTTTCCCTCCCTGCCCTACCCTTCCCTTCCCCATCCCTTCTCAACCCTTCCTTCCTTTTCATGCCCTCCCCTTCCCCCTCATTTCTCACTTTCCGCCCTCTAGTTCCCATGCATGTGCACCCATCCATCACTGTTTCCCCATACATGATTTCATCGTGTGCGCTTGCTTGTATCCCCTTGCGGGTGTTCAGTGGCACCTCACACCACCTCCCCCATGTTTCTTCACACAATCCTTTCTGCCTACTCCACTCTCCTAAATTTCAGTGGTGAAGCAGAGGAGCAAGCTGAGGCGCAGCTAGTCGATGCTTTACACCGTACCACCACCTGTTTCTTGTGTGTCGTATGCAACAACAGATACTCCGTTACTGTTGGAGATATCCATCTCAAAGGAACATTATGTACTTTTGTTTCTGCACTGCAAGATATTCTTACAAGATGCATGGACACTAAGAGTGTCAGATCAGAAGGGTACATAGAGGCATGTTCCAAATACTTCTGATTGTACCTTTCTCAAGGCCTTGAAAAAACACGAAAGGAACTGGTTTCTCTACGAGCATGGCATGGGATGATGGGCTGAGGCGAGTTGCAGTATCAGAAAAATCTTCAGTGTAGTCACTGCAACAGCGAGGGAGAGGGGGACAATACGAGGGACTGGGAGGGGGAACAAGAAAAAGGTCAAACAGGGGAGATATGGGAGATATGGGAGAGCAGGGAAGGAAATGATGAGAAGCAGGGAGGGACATGATGAGAAGCAGGGAGGGACATGATGAGAAGCAGGGAGGGACATGATGAGAAGCAGGGAGGGACATGCGGGGCAGCAGTGGGGGAAATGAGGGGAAGCAGGGGGGGAAATGAGGGGAAGCAGGGAGGGAAATGAGGGGAAGCACGGGAGGAAATGAGGGGAAGCACGGGAGGAAATGAGGGGAAGCACGGGAGGAAATGAGGGGAAGCAAGGGAGGAAATGAGGGGAAGCACGGGAGGAAATGAGGGGAAGCACGGGAGGAAATGAGGGGAAGCACGGGAGGAAATGAGGGGAAGCATGGGAGGAAATGAGGGGAAGCACGGGAGGAAATGAGGGGAAGCAAGGGAGGAAAGGCGGGACAGAGAGGAAAGGGGGAAGTGCGGAAGAGAGGAAGGGTGCAAGTGAGGAGATTGGACGAGGGAGGGAACAGGGGGTTAGCATGGGAGAAGCAAGGGGCTAGAAGGGAGGGAACAGGGGGTTAGCATGGGAGACGCAAGGGGCTAGAAGGGAGGGAACAGGGGGTTAGCATGGGAGAAAGGGGGGAAAGGAGGGGGAGCAGGGGGGGAAAAGAGGGGAAGCAAGGGGGGAAAGGAGGGGGAGCAGGGAGGGAAAGGAGGGGAAGCAAGGGGGCAAAGGAAGGGAAGGAGGGGGGGAGAGGAGGGGAAGCAAGGGGGCAAAGGAAGGGAAGGAGGGGGGGAGAGGAGGGGAAGCAAGGGGCGGAAAGGAGGGGAAGCAAGGGGGGAACGGAGGGGAAGCAAGGGAGGAAAGGAGGGGGAGCAGAGAGGGAAAGGAGGGGAAGCAAGGGAGGAAAGGAGGGGGAGCAGAGAGGGAAAGGAGGGGAAGCAAGGGGGCAAAGGAGGGGAAGCAGGGGGGCAAAGGAGGGGAGGCAGGGGGGAAAGGAGGGGAGGCAGGGGGGAAAGGAGGGGAGGCAGGGGGGAAAGGAGGGGAGGCAGGGGGGAATGGAGGGGAAGCAGGGGGGAAAGGAGGGGAGGCAGTGGAGAAAAGGAGGGGAAGCAGGGGGGGAAAGGAGGGGAATTAGGGGGGGAAGGGAGGGAAGCATGGGGGGGAAAGGAGGGGAAGCAAGGGTGGAAATGAGGCGACGGAAGGGGGGAAAGGAGGGGAATCAGGGGAATTCGCGCCTCATCCCCATCCGCGCCTCATCCCCTTCCTCGTCATCCCCTTCCGCCCCTCATCCCCTTCCGCGCGTCATCGATTTCCGTGCCTCATCCCCTTCCGCGCGTCATAAATTTCCGTGCCTCATCCCCTTCCGCGCGTTATACCCTTCCGCGCGTTATCCCCTTCCGTGCCTTATTCCGCTGTCCGTGAGCAGCGCACGCCTGCGTGATAAGGAGCGGCAGCGCGCCAATGCGCCTGCCGCAGATCACGTCACAAGCGGAGCATCTCTCCTGTCGCGCGCAAAGGCCCCGTTTTTCTCCCCCCTTTTCCCCATTCCACCCCCAGTATCTGCTCCTCCTCTCCTCCACCGTCTGGCGTTGCGTCTGCCGCAAGTTGCGCCAGCGGACAGCTCTCCCATCGCGCGATCAGAACCGATTTCCCCCGCCGACGCAGTCTTTTTTCCGCCTCTCCCCTCCCTCTCCGCCTTCCGCAGTCACCGTGTCGAGTCGCCTCAGTACTCCCATATAGCGCTGTTTCGCGCTCTTCTCAACGCTCCTTTCATCGACCACGCATGTACATGTTCTGGCACGTCACCTACGTTAAAAATTTCTGTTGTTGTTAGCTACTGCGGTTATGTCACACGCGAAGTGGTTAGCTTGTTTGACCGTGGTTTTTCTTCTGAGGGGGTTGGTGCTTTCCGTTTCGTTCTTGCTGGTAGTTGGATTGTGCGAGGACATTCTCCCCTACTTGAACCTGATTGGCTGAAGAACAATCCTAGCGACACTCATTCCAGTCGCAGATCTTTGCGTCACGTTTGGCGAGACCCCTTTCCCCCTCGTCAACCCATCCCTTTCTCGCTACACTGACTTTGCCGAAATTCTTGTTTTCAAGGTTTCGCCAACACTATTTCAAACCCACATAACTTGATATTTTACCATGCTGACCTCGGGCTTTAATCAGCAACGTACACGGCACATAGTGGCAGCCAGCAAACTCGCAGCGGGCAATCTTAAGCGCAAGCAAGCTTGCAACTCTGTTCCATCGCTTGCAACAAGTAAAGACGGGCATTCACACAAATTGGAGAGATTTCATGGCTCTGACGTAGAGATGCTGCACTGCCACAGTGAGTAACAGAGACTTGCTTGCATCTTGTGATCGGGAAGAAGGTGTCACCAAACAGCCAAGTCAGGGGTTTCTCAACGTCAGCAGCAGGGTTGGGAACCTTATTCTTCTTCGCGATGTGGCATAGGAAGATAATCCTCACGATGCCAAGAAGGATTATCAGAATGCTCAAGACAATGAGTAGCCAGCCCCACCACGTAAGATATGTTGTAGTCCCTCCACTGGCAGTAGGTTGGGAAGGACAAACAGAAATACGGCACTCGCCAAACTTGTACACTTTACCTGGTATGATGCATTAGGCAGACGGGAGAAGAACAGGAGAACAACAGGGAATGTCAAAGTGGGTGTGTTGTTTTTCTTCGAAATGACACGCAGCATAAAGCAGTTGGGTGCAAGCAGCGGGTCACCAGATGCCTCAGCCAATGCACACCGTAAGTGAATCGATGCCATCACAAGCCAGAGTCACCAATTCATAACCAGAAACAGATTGAGAAACAAAATAATGATACCAGCAGGGCTCTAGCTAGACTCACCCATGGTACCAGTTTCGATGATGAACTCATCAACCCAATTGGGCTGGAAGGTATAACTGCAGCCACCAGTATTTTTGGACGCGCATTGCTGCGGTGAACGAGTTTTGCAACCAGTTGAAGTGTCATGCAATGTTCATGATGTGGTCGGATGAGATCCAACGAGGTCCAATGCAGTCCGCGTTCATGAGAGGAAAAGGGGTGTGGCGAAGAGGGAGGAGGAATAAGGAAATCGGAAGTTGCATTTCGAGCAGAGAGCAGAGGGAGGAGCAGAAAGCATGGGCAATTCGAGCCTTTTCCAACGAAGGCGCCAGAAACGCCAAGTTTCAGTTTCTCCACCTTTTCACCGAGAAGAGTAAGTAAGTAACCCGCGACCTTGGGCGATTATCCATCTGGCAGGTGAAACATGAACGCGCAATGCTCTTGTGAATCTGAATCGTTACAGAGTTACATACCGCGCAATTATTGGCGCAGAGTTCGCTGGACGCCGTGACGTTCTGTGGGTTCTTGCACAGCGTGCCACAGTCGATCTCGGTGGCGGCTACTATGCCGCAGCGTGCGAAGACTGTGAGAATAGCAGCAACCATAACTAGGCTCCTCATTGTCGGGGAAACGAACGTCATGACTTCGAGAGGTGCAGCTGAGGAATCAACCAATCAACCTGATTGATAGTGGCGAACAATGCAGCCTACTAGATAAATTGTTGAGAACGCTAAACGAAAAGACAATGACCACTACTAGTAGACTCCGCCGGTGCTTATACTAACATGCCAGCCGAGGAAACCTCGCGAGAACAGGTCCTCGCGTCGCGACGCAGGGGAGTCGCGAGCAGGAACAACCAAGTCGGCGCTCACCTCATCCTTACAGATGTTCAAGGACAACCTCCTCCTCATCCTTATCCTTATCCCATCGAGCCCGGACGCGATCCGAACGAATCAGCTCGCATGGTGCGGCTGTCGAGCCCGGACGCGATCCGAACGAATCAGCTCGCATGGTGCGGCTGTCGAGCCCGGACGCGATCCGAACGAATCAGCTCGCATGGTGCGGCTGTCGAGCCCGGACGCGATCCGAACGAATCAGCTCGCATGGTGCGGCCGATATGTGAGGTGTGCAGCCCTCTGAGGTAACATGCTTGCGGTACAGGTGACGATGCAACTGCGATGCGGGAAGGAAAAACAAACGCAGAAAAATCGGCAGTGCCCATGTCCAACGGGATAGCAGTTAGACTAAGGGTTTCATGCGATGTAAGTCACTCGCCGAAAGCCAGATTGCTACAGTAGTCTTGTCTGCCGCATCTGTAGTCGCGGTGTGACGCGTGTACTGGGGCCATTGGCGTAAGGACGCGAGCAAATCAGCTGCGAGTGAGGTTGCTTAGGGTTCAGAGCAAGGGTACTCAGACAGAGGTATCGAAGCAGATGCAAGCGGACGCGGTAAGGAGCCACCTGCTGTATGACAACTGAATCATCAGAATCATTTCAGCATATGTCTTTCTTTAAGAAACATGGCTATATTCCAACAATGACAAGGGGTCTTATTGGAGACAGCAGAAGCAAGGCCATCGTCTGATGACGTCCGTGCACACCTCTATGGGGTGAGCAGCTTTTAATTGCTCTCACATAGATATGCTGCACTGCAAATACAAGGCCGTGACAGACCTCTCCACCATAACCAAAAGAACCCACTCTCTGTGCAGAAAAAAGAATCTTGGCCACCACTAGGCAAAGGTGAAATATGTCTTTAGCTTATGCAACTGACAAAGCAAGTGTGCTCTATTTATGCGTAGTAGTTAAGGCTAGCCTTTTTCTTGGCCTGCACCTGAATAATTCCTTCATTGAAATCCTCATGCGTCACCTGCAATCAACACAATACAAAACATCCACAAGTTAGCAAAGCATGCCCTTAGCCCTATCAAAATAAGGTGACATCAGCCACGTACGGTACGGTAGGATAGGTGACGCAAGAAACGTTAACAAGCCACATCAATCATAATAATCACCTCAGTGGCGTCTCGGCGCAGGGCAAGCATGCCGGCCTCTACACAGACAGCCTTGAGTTGAGCTCCATTAAAATCGTCTGTTGACCGCGCTAGCTCCTCGAAATTCACATCCGGGTGAACGTTCATTTTCCGCGAGTGGATCTGACAGGGAAGGAGGAGGGAGGGAGGGGGAGGGGGGGGAGAGGCGATTCACATCCGGGTGTACGTTCATTTTCCGTGAGTGGATCTGACAACCAGGGAGGGAGGGAGGGATGGAGGAGATTGGAACCAGATAGAAGGTTCGAGACGTCTAAGTCTGCTGACCGCGCTAGCTCCTTGAAAAGCACATCCGGGTGTATGTTCATTTTCCGTGAGTGGATCTGACAGGGAAAGAGGAGGAGGCAAGGAAGAAGCAAGCAGAGGTAGGAATTTGCAGACATCTCGAAAAATGTTGGCACCGGCAGCTCCCCAAAATTTACGTCCGGGTGTACGATCGTTTTCCATGAGTGGATCTGAGAGGGAAAGGGGGAGAGGGGATTAGAGACAGATATTGGTAGGAGGTTTGAGATGATCCCAGTTATGTTGAGCTCGCTAGAAAATCACTCATCCATGGCAACTCCAAAAAGCATCCAATCGCAAACCCAGTGCACAAGCAAAAGCATGAAATCCCTTGCACTCGCCTCACCTGCAGGATGCGAGCCCGTGCCTCCTCAGTGGGGTGTGGGAACTCAATCTTCCTGTCCAGCCGCCCCGAGCGCATGAGAGCCGGGTCCAGGATGTCAGCTCGGTTGGTGGCTGCCACCACCTAAGACGGTGTGAGTGGGGGTAAATGGAGTGGATGCGGTGGGGTATAGAGGCAGGAAGGACTGAGTCGCCCCCGACGCATGAGAGCCGGGTGGAGGATGTCCGCTCGGTTGGTGGCTGCTACCACCTGGTGGGGACACGGTGTGAATGGGGGTGAACGGGGGTGGTGGAGTGAGAGGGAGGAGGGGCAGGCAGGCCTGAGTCACCCTAAGCGCACGAGCACATGAGCGCCGGGTCGAGGATGTCGGCTTGATTGGTGGCTGCGACTAACTGGTGGGGACACGGGGTGAATGGGTTGAGGGGCAAGAGGGACGCGCAGCAGAAAGGCTTGGTTTGGTGAGGACAGAAGAGAAGGTGGGGATGTAGGGTGAGTTGCTGAGGAGCGGGGAGGTGCGGGGAAGAGACGGGGAATTGAGGAGGCACGAATGGAGCTTGGGTGGAAAGCACAAGTGCGCATGAGATCTGAACGTGACAACTGAGATTGTCATGCGTAGCTGATTCCCTCACCTTGAT